TGGGTCGGATCTCCGGCGAGCAAGCCGCCGTAAATGAGGTAATAAGGCGCACTGCGGAGTGGCGCTACAAGAATTGCAGATAAGGAAGGGCATGATTCGAATTCGATACGGATTCGGCTCAGCCAGAGGGCAGCTGGCAGGGGCTGGCCCGGGGCAGACGGGTGACCCTCCACCGAGCCGATGTATCCGTAGAATGAGTAAATACTGATATTTCAGTAAGGAGTCTTTGACTAGCAGGGACCAGGAGCTATGGGAGCACAGAATAGAGGCGAGGTGGCTGGTATTCTTAGAGGCGCTAGGAATCCAGTGGTCACTGTTGCTGAAGGATCTAGCTCCTAAGGTGTGAATTTTGCAAGCTGGGTTTGGCACAAGTCCATGTCTCGTATCCGTAGAATGAGTAAATACTGATATTTCAGTAAGGAGTCTTTGACTAGCAGGGACCAGGAGCTATGGGAGCACAGAATAGAGGCGAGGTGGCTGGTATTCTTAGAGGCGCTAGGAATCCAGTGGTCACTGTTGCTGAAGGATCTAGCTCCTAAGGTGTGAATTTTGCAAGCTGGGTTTGGCACAAGTCCATGTCTCGATTTGGTTTTACTCCCGGATCAGTAGCAGGGCGTCAGAAATCCTGCAGCTATTCCAGAGCCAGGTAGCGCCGGCGTATGGACCAGCTAGTGACAATAAAATGCTCTTGAGTCTTTCTATGGCTTAAGAACTCATTTGGCATCTGCCTGCTTGCTAGGCCCAGAGGCGGAGTGAGGGGCCTGCGTTACTGTTTTAATGCTGAAACATTATGAATGCAAAGGAGTCTGTGCACAAGTGGGAAGTGGCTCTCTGGCAGAGAGAGGGGCTGGTGTTATTACTCCCTGCGTGGCAGCCTTTTGGGCCAAAGAGGGAATGGTAGTGTCTCATGCAGGGTTGTGTCTCATGCAGGGTTGTATTGAGCTGGAGCAGTTCTGGCTGACAAGGCAGCTTCCACCCTTAAGGCTGTGCCAAGCTATTTCTCGCCTGTCCCACGGGGCAGCCCTTTTTGCACGTCCCTTCCAGGGAGTGAACGGAGACCAGCCCCCACACTGCTACAGGCTGCTGTTTGGAGTGCAAGACTAGGGGTAGTACTGGACGTGGGCAAGAAGTCTGGCCTCCGAGAATCCGTGTTCTTTGCAAGCCCAGCCTGGGACTTTCGCCTGAGTAAGGGCTGCAGGATAGGGCTCTAACTGGCTGTATGGGGGGGGTCATTTCATGGAGCAGAGTTAAGCCAAGCCTGAGTTCTTTTGAGTCCCGTCCCCCCCTCTCAAGTGATGCATCTCCTGTCCCTGGGAAAGGGCAGGGGTGCCAAAGGATTCAGTGGGGCTGAATCTGAAGTCCATGAAATCAGACTGACGGTCACAGCCGCTTCCTTTCTCCTCTGACTGTGGGTGACCGTCCGTCACTAGCTCCTCAGAAAAAGGCCCTCTTCTGCCAGTCAGCCGTGAGCAAATGTAAACCGTCTCTGCCACCCCTCAGGAGCAGTGCCCGAGCTGGGGCTGTTGACTGATTAAAACAGCACCACATGCAGGAACCGTGGACCATATCCTCATGCGGGGGAAATCCATCCCCAGCAGCCAGGTCAGACGGCAGGGCTCTTTCTGCTTCCAAAAGTGCCGTGGAGTTCGCATTTATTAGCTTCCACCAGGGGGTTTTGTATGTACGGTAGCAAGCCCTTGCTTAGATTTAGTTCTAAGAGGTAATTGATTATTATTATGCCGAGGGAATGAATTTGCTGAGGGTCTCCATAATCTATACCACGGGTCTGGGACTTGCTCTGAAAAGCGAGGCAGTTAGATCGCTGCAAAAATCTCAGAGGTAACAAAAATGATGTCAGGTAAACTAATGGGAACCATTTAAAAAAAAGTCAACATTTGCCACTCTACAACAACTGCAGCACTACAGTAGCTCCTGTTCTAAGGACAGGCGGCTACCATGGTTACTGCAGTGACGGGGGTTAACAAGTACAGGTTTTTTTTAATGGCACACATGGGGGGGGGGGATTAAATACATATTCCATAGGAGGGGGAGTCACCCATGTATAAAATCACATTGTTGAGGTTGTCAAATCAAGCACTTAAAATGTGAAAGAATGCCATCATTAAAGTTGCCTATGCAACTTTTAGCCTATTCCCTGCCAGCAGAAGGGCACATCCCGCACGCAACACCCCCTTCCCCACTTGTGATCAACTACATTTATTTTGCATCTCTAATTGCCTGCATCCTGATGTCTTATCTGTCCCAGGCAGGAGCACATCTAACATCTCCAGTCTCTGACCCTCTTTCAAACATACCCTAGAAAAAACCAAAAACAAATGGATTCTTCCACAATTGTTTCCATCTCCCCAAATTCCTCTATATATCAGGTAAAAGCTAGGATTGACAATATCTGCTGGGCCAATGGTCAAGGCAGGCAACATTCAGTGCCGGACCCAGGACAGTTTAGAGGTAGAATATCTTGAGAACAACCAGGGCTAGAAATGTCTGGTACTGCACCCCGGGGAAGTGAGTGGATTCCATGGTCTCCAGTGAGGTGTACTGCTAGCCCTTGACTGTGAGATACCGGGTTGTAATGACAATGATCACGTCACAGAAAAGTTGTCTTGGAGCATTTGTAAAGGTGTAAAAAAAAGTTCGAATGTTTTTGGCCTCTGGGCAGAGGGTCCTCCAAATCATTTGGCTTTACAGGCGACGGGGCTGGGGTGTAAGAAAAATAATCTACCAACAAATCCGAGTCAGACACATTTCTAAAATAAGGTTGCTCTGAAAAGTGACATAAAGTGAAATACACGGGATGTGTGTGGAAGAGTTAAAGCATTTGCTGACATTAGTTTGGGATGAGCTGCATAATCTACCTCTGAGTATGCCACACAGGAGTAAGAGCGTTAGCCCAAACTCCTGCCCAAGAGAAGCGTTTTCATGTAGCCACTTCCTCTGTATGCATCAGGGTGCATTTATACAAAGATGCACACACGATAGATGGGTGTGTTTACACAGGCAGGTCTCCAAAAGGCATGTGCATGTGTGGGTGCTTGTGTTTACGCCTGCACAGTGTTTTTGTCTCTGCATCCTTTGTCTCACAGAACCGGTGTAGAGGCCCAAAGAACCAACGGCAGCTACTGCACCGGAGCAAGTTTTGCCAAATAGTTCCAAGGTCACCCCACATTCTAGGGCTAAGAACTGCTGCCCCTCCATGCTTCCATGTATTGCCAGCGGCATGGCGTGGCTACTGGGCTCTAAACCCAGACTCCCTTCGAACAGTGTGTTCAACTCCTACTGCAAGGCCTCTGCGAGAGTGGGAGAGTGAGAGGGGGTGGGAATGTTGTAAAACCTGCATTTTACAAACCTCTAAGAAACTAAACAAGTTTCCCCAGACACAAACAGATCACAGATTTAAGGTTGAATAGCTTGTGACATAGCACGTCTAGAAACAAATGTAGCTGAAACAAAAGACAGGACTATGTAGCATTTTAAAGACTAACAAGATGGTTTATTAGATGATGAGCTTTCGTGGGCCAGACCCACTTCCTCAGGTCAAATAGTGGAAGAAAATTGTCACAACCATATATACCAAAGGATACAATTAAAAAAATGAACACATATGAAAAGGACAAATCACATTTCAGAACAGAAGGGGGCTGGGGGGGAGGTAAATATCACTATAGAAACAAATGTTTTATTCTACATTAAGAGGCATTCATGGTTTTTTTTAAATGGGGCAAGGGCTAATTTTTAGCCATGAGAGGTCTCAAGGGATGTGAATTTAAATCTCTCACTGGCCCTGGACTGAATATTGCACGTCCTGGTCCTTGATTCAATATCGCTTGGAGAAATAGCAAAAAGGGGTGAGGGTGGGTTGCAGGGGAAGAAGAAATTTTTAAAAACAATTCTTTTCTTTGCTTTTCTTTCTAATGGGGGAGAGGGCTGTTTGATGCGCATCCAGCGTGAATCTGCAAGAAACAGACCTGGGGCAATGACTGAGTCGGCGGAGTAAAGATAAGGTGGAGAGAATGTCCAAGGTGCAAGATAAATGCAGTTGACCATTTGGTTCTGCAATATACATCACATGGTTATCATCCCCATATGTGTCATAGGTGTGTCTAGCTATCTACAATATGTATGACAACCCCATATGTGTGTTGATTTAAATATACAAAAATCAGAAAATGAAGTTTAAGGCTCCTACATAACAATTTCCCTCATTCCACACCTTAGTTAATGTATATTTCACCTTTTACAAATTAAGTATAGAGCTACACTGTTGAAACCTGCAATTACAGCGTGTCTGCAATGTGACCAGCTTAGCTGATTCTTAAACTTCTAATTGTCATAGTACATTAACACGCGTTCTGTTTTAACAGCAACCTGAGATCATTGGGGCTATGTCTAGACTTTATCCCTCTGTCGACCCGGCAGTCTAGAAGCAGATCTGTCCCTTTTTCGACAGTGCCTGTATTCCTCAAAAAATGAGGTTTACAGAATCTGTCCAAAAAAGGGTTTATTTTCGACAGATCCGCGTCTAGACTGCCACTTTTTTCGAAAAAGCTCCGTGTCGAAAAAAAAGTGGCGGCCATGTTTATGATAATGAAGATCAGGATATTTAAATCCCTGCTTCATTAGCAATTCTGATGTGCCTAATCTACACCTTTCCGTCGACAGAGAGGTGTAGTCTAGACACACCCTGGGTGTGAACTTGCAGCGCGAGTGTAAAAATGCTCACCTTGCACCCAGGCTGAGCTGGAGCGCATGACAATACCTTGCTCTTATGTGGCGCTGCGCAGCAGCTCGCAAAGCACTTTCCACAGACAGCTGCTGTCATTATGTCCCTTTCACAGACG